CTTTTCTTGTCCAGCATAGGTGTGGTGATTGGTCGATGTGGCCGCGGGCGTACTGGGCATTTAGGGAGTTGCAATCATCCGGTTACCTGTAAAGAGATCTTAAAGCTGATTATCTTGCAAGCAGGGATAAGGGACGCAGATGTTTATCACCAGTGGGATCGTAGTGTCCTAGTGCCTGAATCTGACTGTTTTCGCTGGTTACCGATTTCTGGTACAATGTCCTCGCTAACCTCTTGAAATGACTTTTTATTGATGACATTCCCGTCTGTTCATGTAAGGTTGTAATTGGTGTTACCCTCGGCAATTTTGTTATTATCCTGAGGACTTTATTTTGAAATGTCTGTAATTTATTTATGTGAGTGTTGGCAGCATAGCCCCACGCGGGGGAGGCATATGACAATATGGAACGGAGGAGTGATTTATAAATTACCAACGCTAAATTAATGTCAATTGTGGAGGATTTATTTAATATAGGATACAGTTGTCTGAGTCTGTAATTAGCTTTGCGCAAAATACAGGATATGTGGGTACGGTAGGTTAATTTTGAGTCAAGTGTAACACCAAGATACTTCGTTTCCTTAGTCCAAGATATGGTTTTGTTAAAAATCTTTACTTGATGCTTACTGCAGCCCTGATGTCGCAGTCGTTTAGAAAAGAGTGTAATTGTGCACTTTTTGCATTAATATGTATTCTCCACTTCCGGAACCATGGTTCTAAGAGGTGTAGGCAGAATGCAGAGACTTTATATATAAGAATTCAGTCCGTACCTCACAGGAAACACATTACGTCTCCGCTACAGAGCCCAACCGGTTAATGCTGTTTAGGGAAACAGTCGCTGTTTATTGTGAAAACCATACGGAACACACAGATACACTGTGTGGACAAAATGCAGTTTTTCATTGTTATAGAATTTTGTACATACGTTCTCACAGCGGTGGTTGTGAAGAGATCTATCTTCTGGGGTATACGGTTTTCTTTGTACTTTCAAGAGTGAATGGTTCTCGGAGGCATTCCACCTGAAAAGACCTGGTACAGTTGTCTCAGTCAAGTGCGCGACCTACTTACAGGTACTCCGTCCACAGGTTCCTAACGCAACCTCAGTGTCTGTCCGCTCTGGCGCGTGACTTTAGACCAAGGATGTGTAAAAGCTGGTTCATGAGCCTTACCTGCCGACCGGCTAACTACACCGTACTAAATTTGCAACAGAACATATTGGGTTGGATTTAAGGTTATTACAGTTGTCACTACGAAAGAGTACCGTCCTCTGGGATGTTTCTCTGCTTGCTTAGCATGCTCTTCGACCGTGAAGATGGAGGCGATAGGTCCCTACGAAATTTCGGTGACTTCTAAAGAACTACACAGGGTTACAATTCAGGAGACTGTGTTCTTCAGATTGAAGTTTGCTCATGCAATTAAAAAAACGGAAACGAGGAATACACTCGCGTACGTAGACTTTTTCAACATCTGCACATCGCTTATCTCACAGGCCTTCCCCAGCCGTCTCTTTCCTTGGGGGGGGGGGGCACACGGTAGCGTAGTTAGTTGAGGCACTATGCTACAAGCCGGAGGGTCGCGGGTTCGATTCCCGAAGAGGTCATCGGATTTTTTCAATTGACCCAATCCTTCCAGCCGCACTATGGCCCTGAGGTCAACTCAGCCTCTAACAGAAAAGAGTACCAGGAATCTTCCTGGAGGTAAAGGGCGACCGGCGCGTAAGGCTGACAAGCTCACCGCCATCTGTGAGCCGATTGTCTAGAAAATGTGAGAGCCTCGACGTCTCACAACCCTATGGGCCTCCACGGCCTGTTACAGGGATAGCTTTACTTTTATGTCCACAGGGAAGACCAAGGCATAAATGACATATTATCATCGAATTAAGTAGGAAGCTAGGGGTCAGACTCTTAATTCGTTTGGGTCAGGGTAGGGGCAAGTAGAGGGCTCTTGTGAACACGGTAATGAACTTAGAAGGTAAACCTGTCCCTATGTAACAGTTAAGGTTTTCACGGCGGTAAATCTGAAGAATTCCGTCTCTTGGGATGTGCCGCCGTTTACAGCTTGTGTGACACGACGTTTCGGAGGATCGTGTCGCCGACATCTTCAGGGTAGAAGCAGCGTGAGCAGGTGGCTGCAGCCTGCACGCCACCCCTCCAGCAGGCAACCTCCGGGAGACCTGTCCCCTGTGCCTAACGAAATCTCCGGAATCCAGATTTTGTTTGCCATCGCATGCTGAAAATAGAATCTAGTAACTTTCTAACGACAACGTAACGACCTACGTCACTATCTAATGATGACGCGCCCTCAGAGATGTCATTTTGACAGAATGTACTATGTAAGTGTTTCATGACGTTAACGTTATTGTTCGTTGAAATTCAACGTGTTACAGAAGGAGTCCCCGTCGGATGTTCAGGTCCACCTGGCGGCGCTGCAGGGCGATGTGGGTCTGTTGCGTCGCGTCCTGGACAGCGGCAAGGTCCACGTGGACAGTAAGGACAAGGTACGTACTGTCCTCCAACGAACAGAAGGTGAGGCATCTGGTCAATCTTGAATGTTCTACTGCTTATGAAAGAACACACCGAGCTCCACTGTAGTAAATGAAAGGGTTGTAAGTCGTCAGAAGGTGGAGCCAATGTTTTCAGCTTGCACGGTACACGCCTGCGGGCCTTGGTAATTGCCTCGCCTCCTGGCCGTAGCAGAACAATAGGCAGAACTGTGACAGGCGCAACGCAAGGTTTAGGCAAATATTCAGACTCTCCGTGTTCCCATGACCACAGATGTGCAAATGGAAGCTCCATAGCTCAGTCAGTATAGTGACTAGGCTGCGGGCTGAATAGACAAGGAATCTGGGTTCGATGACAGCATCCAACACGGGTCTGGATACCGGGGGCACTTATCCTAGGATAAAGCGACCGGGGCGTGAAGCTGAAGCCGCCAGTCGCTCAAATACTCGAGAATTTCCAAACATTTCATGGAACCCCAAAGGTTCATTACCGTGTCCACAAGAGCCCTCTGCTGGTCACTATCCTGAGCAAGATCAATCCAATATCACCCTAGCCTCTCTCCCTAAGATCCCTTGTAATATTATCCTCGCACCTACGTCTAGGTCTTCATAGTGGTCACTTTCCTTCTGGCTTTCCCACCAAAATCCTGCATGCGTTCCTCTTCTGAAGCTGACCATGCATTTCCATTCAGTACGGAAGTTTAGAATGCGTGGAGCTATTCTTCTGTTTCCATATACATCTTCATGGCATTTTCTGTAAAAGAAAGTAAAAGGTAAAGCTGTTCCTGTAACAGGCCGTGGAGGCCCATAGGGTTGTGAGACGTCGAGGCTCCCACATTTTCTCTAGACAATCGGCTCATAGAAGGCGGTGAGGTTGACATCCTTACGCGCCGACCGCCCTTTACCCCACAGGAAGATTCCTGGTACTCATTTCTGTTAGAGGCTGAGTCGAACCCAGGGCCATAGTGTGGCTGGGAAGATTAGGTCAATTTAAAAATCCAATCCCCTCATCGGAAATAGAACCCGCGACCTTCCGGCTTCTAGCATAGTGTGCCTCGACTACGCTGCCGCGTGCTCCCATGGAATTTTCTGTGCATGGCATAAATGGAGGTAGCTGAAGATGATCTTGTCGTGTTTGCATCGCATGGCAGCTTGCAGTTCGAGATTGGAGTAAAGTTGCCAATGGAAAGGGACTCTGACATTAAGGGCCACGCTTCTGAAATATAATGCGTTGAGAAAGGGATATTCAGCGAGAAAGGTTGGCAGCTCTGCACTAGCAGCAGAAGGCAGAAGTTGTAGCAGAGAAGTGCATGACATTTCTAGCAAACGTTGACATTTAAATCAGAGATCGCCAGCATTTGTGTCTGAAGTCGGGTCGCTCCGGTTGTTTGACGGGCAGGCCCGGCTAAGGAACCGATAACTTCCCGATGAACGAATATTCTAACCGCAGCAGTGATAAAGTTCGGCGCCGCTAACACAAAATCACACCAGCGTATTGTGACCCTCAGCAAAATCATCTCGGTTCTCATGCCTATAAACTGATCTTGCTTCCACGGTAATGAACGTTGCGGGTTCGTGCATATTGGACAATTCTTTGGCCAGATGAGTCCTGACCTCACTCACACCCCGTCCTTTACGATTCATTGTAATATTATTCTGCCATTTACGTCTAGGTCTCCAAAATCGTCTCTTCCCTTCACTTTTATAATCTGAAGCTTATCTATCTCTCCTTATCTCCCCCATGCATACTACATTTTCCGCCCATCTTATCGGCGTTTATTCGATTACCCTTATAATGTCACGCGATTGACAGGCTATAGACGGGGTTTGGATTGCTAATCGGATTTATCGGACACGTTAACACACAACTCGTGACTACATTTCACAGATCACTATCAGACGGTCTTCACTGCGTTGCTTGGTAGCGGCTTCCAACAATGGACGTTCCTCTGCTCCCGAGCTCACGTCCATCTCACACCACTTCCTGCTCTTCTCACTGCCGTCTCAAGGCTGTCCCACAATCAGAGTCAGAGTCACTTTACGACGGTCGGTTTACCACCAATCAGTTCGTCTTGGCGACAAGCCTCTTGATACTCAGGGCCTGATTTTTCTTTTAACTGAACTCTTTCTATCATAGTCCATATGTAACATACACTCTGACGAGAGGTTGGGTCTGTAGTTTACAATTGCTGCTGATCCTCGCCAGCGCAGTCATTCTTAGGTCCGAGTCCCGCGGGACTCATTACCACATTTTATTGTCTCGGATTCGAGCACCAGCCATTTTCATAGTCAAAGTCAAAGTCACTTTGCGACTGACGGTCAGTCAGTAAGTCTTGTTGTCGAGCACCCAGACATTTGTTACTGTTTCACAGTTAAGGTCTTGGTTTTTGTGGGCGCCCTCTCTGACGAGAGGACGGGTTTGTCTTCTGTATATGCTGCTGACACTTGCCAACGCAGTCTTTCTCGGGTCCGAGCCCCTTGGGGCTCCCTTCTAAATCCCTTTCCAGTTGATCATTAGCCGGACACTACGCAGCCTGAGCTACCGGCTGTGTGACTAAATAAAACAAACACTATCATGTAGACCGTAACGAAACTGTTCCCACTTCTTTCCCATTCATTTGTTATTGGCCTCAGCGCCGTGAAGCCTTCATCTTGGTCACATGTCTGCCCCGTCGGCGTCTTTACCCAGGCCTTTAGTGTCTTCTGGGATGTGATGCCGTGTAGTTTGGTAGACAGAAGACGAAGGCAACATGTTCCTCTGAGGCATGTATACCAGTTACCAAACTACATGGCGTCAGGCCCAGAACACAGTATGCTCTTAGGCATCGCAATCAGAAATTCAGACTTCTGTCAATGACGTGTCAATGCCTTAACTTCACCATTGTCAACTAAATCATGTCTTCGTTACGTCCCTGAGCTTGAAAGAAATATGATGTATGTGTGTGGAGTGCATTCATCTGGCTCAAGTAGGGTTCGGTGTTGGGCTCTTGCTAACGCGGTAATGAACTTTCGAGTTCCATAAAAGGTGGGAAATTTCTTGACCATCTGAGTAACTGCCAGCTTCTAGTGCCGTTAATCTCGGTTTTCTAGACCTGAGCCGCTATTTCCTTGAAATTGCTCCTCAGTTATCCTCGAGGCTGAGTGGACTCCGTTCCAGACGTACCACTTTTCAGAAAATCTGGTAGCGCCGGGAATCGAACCCGAGACCGCCGGATCTGTAGCCAAGAACTCTGACCACTAGACCACAGAGGCGCATAAAAATCACTTTTGTGTAAAAGTCTCGAAAATAACAACACTTGGCAGAACAAAGCTTATTGAACGTGAAATCGGTTTCATTTTTTCTCTGCAGCGTTTCTTCGACCCCGATGAACATTCAGAGAGTCACGAGATGCGCGTGGGTCTCCGTGTAAAGTGTTCCTTAATGGCGTCAGATTTTGACGAAAAGTCCAGCGAAACTTCCATACAGCGGGTCTCTAGCTGTTACAGTCGGACGGACAGACAGCGAAGCCAATTGGGTGCAGCTTTGCAGCGGGCTCGCCGACCGACCGACCGACTGACCGCCAAAACCACCGAACCGCAAAACTTTCCGCTTCATAACGACGGACTCTGTCAATAAAGGAAGAATTTTTCTGCAAGAATGTGATTCCTACGCGGACTGTGTACCCACCGTACTTACTAATTCACTTCCATGTGGCCCGCTACAGGGAAGCTACGGACGTTACCATGGTAACGGAGAGAATTGTTGCACGTCTTGGTGACATGGCCTGTGGCAAGGAGAGGCACTGCCGCTTCCTGCACGAAATTCCAAAACGTTAACCCTCAACAGCACAGCGGTTACTGTACGTACAACCGGCTGTGACCAGAGAGTTTTTCCAACTGAACTCTTGCGGTAAGGACTATTACCGCAAGAGTTCAGTTGGAAAAAATCTCTGATCGTGGGTCTCAAGGGACTGACGCCAAGACGAGCTGACTGGCGGTAAACCGTCAGTCGTAAAGTAACTCTGACTCTACATTCTGCCCGCACTGTGTATTTATGTATTCCATATGGTTCTCTCAATAAACAGCGACTGTTTCCCCAAACAGCATTAACCGGTTGGGCTCTGTAGCGGAGACGTAAAGTGTTTCCTGTGAGGTACGGACTGAATTTTTAAATTTAATCGTTTACATATATTATTACATTTAGAAGCGCTAAGGCTTCAAAGTGTTACTATGGGCTTAGTAAGCTAATACAAAGCCCTTTCGCCGTACTTTTTCCGTTTCTCCGTGCTTGGTGTGGTTGACCGCCGGCCACCGTCTTAACTAAATGTGAGCGTGACAAGGCAGATCTCGCTGTAGCCTGCTGCACCTGGACTTGTTTACACTCCAGAAAGAGCCAAGTGTTGCTATGTCGCTCGGACCCGCTGCACTTGCCAACAGAAGCTGTAGGTAACGGCTTGCTCGAGCTTTCGTGCGGAATTATGGCAATCGCGACTTCTCACACCGTGGCACTGATGCTGCATTACGCCCATTTCAAGAGGTCATTCCCCTCACGGATTTGATTAATTTCTGCGAGCTCCAAAAAGCAGTCATAATTCAGACACATTAAAATCGACAATTAAAAGCAATTGTCTGCCTACTAAAAGGGCGTATTGTTGTTGTTATATTGTGTGGTTGGGGGGGGGAAGTGGGCATTCGTGTTCCCACCTGGCACACACCTTCTGTTCCATTGCTCCTCTAGTCACTGGCCTTCACCTGCTGATGCAGTTTGTAAGTCGATATATATATTCATAAACTGGTGCTTAAATTTATGTAACCTTAATTTAAATTAGTTGTTCTATTTTCGTATTCGTGCTTACTGTGTAGTTGGCCTCTGGGCTGTTGATCAGCACGTAATTAAATAAAGAATGGGATCATTGTTAATAATCAATTCTCTTGTCGCAAAACACGAAGGTTCAACACCGCCATTGGACACGATCCGGAGCCAGTTCCATCCACTTCCCATCGTCACAGCCCCTGCTCCGTCTCCTTTTAGGTTTACCAGGTGGTTGTTTTCCCACAGACGTCTGTAGGCAGTGATGATGATGATGATGATGATGATGATACAGTAACTCAGCGCTAGTGTCTGTACCGGTAAACATTAAACATTAGCCCAGCCATCTCGATTGTAGACAGAGGAGGAAAGAAAACGGGGACTGCGGATATCAGCGCACGTTTCTAACACAGAAGCGCCTTGCCCGATGCTTCCCGCCCTGCTAACGTCAGCTGATTGCCAGTATAACCACAATTTGCTAACGTAATTGGTTGAGGCACAAGCCGGACGGTTGTGGGTTCGATTCCCGATGAATTCACTGGATTCTTCAACTGACCTAATCCTTCCAGCCGCACTATGGCCCTAGGGTCAACTCAGCCTCTAACAGAAATGAGTACCAGGAATCTTCTTGGGGGTAAAGGGCGGCCGGCTCGTAAGGCTGAAAACTTTGCCGCCGTCTGTGAGCTGATTGTCTAGAGAAAATGTGGGAGCCTCGACGTCTCACAAGCCTATGGGCCTCCACGGCCTGTTACAGGAATAGCTGTACCTTTTTATTGCCATAATTTGCATCACTGTGCACACTACAACCTCACAATTGCTCTCAGGGAGTTTCGTACTTCCTAAAATGGCCGGTGCTCTGGAAATGTTGCAGCCCCGCATGTAAACATTCGTCTCCATCTCATATACATATCCGTAATTCGCTACTTGGGCATAGGGGTGTCAGGGAACCAGCTGATAGAACAAAACGCATTCTCACAGACCCCACACTTAAGTGTAGGGCACACCTGTGGAGACGTGTGGTGCCACGCAACACGGAGAATCGGAAAAGCGCCTTATCTCATTTTCTCCAAAAAACTGGAGATACGACACTCCAGCACTCGGGCTATGTTCCCTGTGGCTGCAGAAACCGGAGGGTGTCTCCATCCCTCTTCACTCCTACAGATCCTGAACAGGACTTGGTTTCAAAGCGACACACCTGGAACATGCCCTACACATGTCATTCAACAATACGGTCTTTACCGTGAGACGCCGTATAATCTGGTAGATTTCTACCAACGTTTCAGAGGAATCTACTGCTTCCATCTTCACTATAAAACAGATGGAAGTTATATATCTTCCGAAGTAGGCAGGCGTTGCAGCCGAGAGGACATAAGCCTTCATATGCATTGCCGTGGGGACCTCAGATCTGACAGACGTTTCTCTATTCTTGGCTTACTTAACGATACTGCCAATGCATCAGAATAAACTCCGTCTGCTATGAGAATGATGGTGCGTCATCGTCAGTTGGTGACGTAACTGTTATGTCATCCTTAGAAAATTACTAGATTCGACTTTCAACGTATTTCCGGTACTCAGACGCCAGCGCGAAATTCAAACATACTTACACAGGGACTTTTCTTCTGTGAGGTTGCCTACACAAGGTGTGATGTACCCTGGTTCGTAGGGTAGATGGGCTGTATATGTCGAAGAACGGTGGGGTTACCGAATAATCAATTAGGAAAGGGTGTGAAAGCAAGTGTTTTGAGTCCTCATTTGAGTTTATATCTCGGCATTTTGCAGGAGGGACTGATAACAACGAACCTTTAGTCAGGTTAGCCAATGTCTGCATCGAGATTTCAACCTGCGATATACAAAATCCGAAGCAGGAGTGTAAATCGTCCTGAAGATGACTGTTTTTTCTGTTGTGATGCCACATAAACTGATAGATCACTACTAGCATCTTGGAGCTACCTTTTATCTCTGTTGTCATTGCAGAAAAGTACACGTAATTTTACTCAGAAAATTAACTTTGCTCTGCCACCCTAAGATGTAGGCCCCATGTTCATTCGAGAAATTTATACCAGTCTACCAAACTTCACGGCGTCACATCCCCGAAGACACTGCCATGAGAACCTCATCTCTAATGACATGTGCTATTCTCCCACAGGATGGCACCACGCCGCTCATCCTTGCAGCTGCCAGTGGCCATGTGGACTGCGTCAAGGAGCTGCTGGAGCAGGGGGCCGACTCCAGGGCCAGGAGGGTGGTGAGTACCAGAGTTGATCCTGACTCTGTCTTCAGCCATCACAAGCTTCAACACCATGATTTTGGGTTGAGGCCCTGCATCTGGCTGTTATGGTCACGGTAATGAACCTTCGGGTTCAATAAAAGGCAGGGGAATCCCTTGACTGAGTGACTACCAGCTTCTCAAGATGCCCTCCACTTCATGGTGGGCTCTTGTGAGCATGGTAATGAACCATGAGGTTGTGCGAAAGGCGTGGGATGTCTTTATTAGTTAAGCGACCATCAGCTTCTCAGAAGTGTTCCCCTCCATGAATCCAAAAGTAAAACATCTGCAAGAATTACAAACTGAGTAAATATGACTTGATATTTCTGAATGCAAATGTCTGTGGTGTGAGACCGACGTCTGCAGTTATTTGTTTCACTTACCCAGACAGGCACGACGGCCCTGTTCTTTGCTGCCCAGGGCGGATTCCTGGACATTGCTCAAATATTGCTGGACAGAGGTGCTCCCGTCAATTCAGCAAGTGTGGTAAGTATGGACGGGTAGGCGGCTTTCTGTACGAGTAAATAGTAGATCTTGAACTCTCAGTACAATACAGAAAAACGTCTAAATAATTTCCATGATTATCATCATGTCAAAACTTTTTATTGAGGCCAGATCTCTGTTCAGTGCTGCGCTCACTTCCACTCTCAGGGTGGTCACTTGACAGCAGTCATATCACTTTCCAAGTTCATTTGAACACTATTTAACTTTGCAATTGAGACATGGTCATTAAATAAAGAAAGGCTCAGCTCACTGTCACTGTCCTACAAGTAGATACTTTTCTAGGGTCTTCCTGCCAAAACAGTGTGTGCAACATTTTTGGTTAGCCCAGTCATTTCCATAGTTACCCAGACTTAACTAATCAAATGGGCTGGCTGAAGATGTAAACACTCTCGACTCATATTTCAGAGATGCTTGGTTCAAAGCTTGGTTTGAACACTGGCTATGAGGACTGAGGTTTTCTTTTTGTTTTCCACAGTACTTCCAAGAAAATGCCAGGATAGTACATTTATTATGTCACAAACATTTCCTTCCAAATCCTTTCTAATTCATCCATCACAGTACTATTTGACACCTGACTAGACTGATCTAGATAGGTTACAAAAACGAGACTAGGGAAATCAGAATTGTGAATTCTTTCAGTTCTCTGCTTATTTAATTTCTCATAGGTCCAAAATATTTTCCTCAAGTTTGTTTCCAAATATCTTTACGAGGTTCCCATACCAGTGACTTTAAAGATTACAGTCTGTGCGTCATAGATCAGTGTTTCAAAGGAACCTGCTGCCTCCATCTTCAGGACAGGAAAGTAAGCCCTGAACAAGGAGAGGCAGGATGAGACCAGGGACTGACCTCAGACCTCTCAGCTTGTCGGTAGCAACGTAACAAACCATATGACTTCACATCCCAAACACCGGTAATGACTATACTTGTCTGCACAGGACGGTGGTACACCACTGTTCGTGGCCTGCCAGTGCGGTCACATGGATGTGGTCAAGGAGCTTGTAGCTCGGGGAGCCAAAGTCAACAGTCACATGAAGGTATGTGTTCCTAACCCTTTCACCGTTATTCAGTGTTGCAAGTTATCAGACATTCACCTGATGCCAGAACTGGCAACACTGTCCCTCCCCATACTGTACGTTACGGATAAAACAGTGTACTCATTCATGTGAAGAAGCGTGTCTAATTGTTTGTCCTTCTGCCCTTAAAACAGAAAATCAATTATAAGACACACAGTGTGAGGGTACCATAAATAGAAGATGTATTTGGTGGGTGTGTGATTATATCAACAACTGAGGTTATTTGCCCCTATAACAGCCAGAAATATAACCAGGTTTTGAAAACTGCCTGCTTGGCTTACTCCAAAGTGCAGTAACCCCACGGCATCAAGGTGCTTTTGACCATTTTGCACTAAGGAAGCAACGTGACTGAAAAACCCACAGCACCAATCATTTAAATGATACATACAGTAAACAGAAGCTTCTTATGAAGCACACAGTTAATTTTAAACTCTTCATAAAAAGTAAATTTTCAAAAATGTACATACTTGGACCAGCTTAAATAGTAACTAGCAGCCAGTCAATTTTCAGTTTTATAATTCTGTAGAAAATTGCATTTAAGTCAGTTGCTGAAATACAAGCAGCCAGCCGTTAGAGGAAGTTCTACAGGACATCTGCCTCCACAACAGCGTACAGCTCGATGAATAAATTTCATCTTCTTTAAAGGGGAAACAAACGATTCTAATAAATTTTAATGTTAATTTGAGTTTGAGCCTGAATATTTTGTGTCACTCACCAATTTCAAGTGAAATGAACAAAACATGATATACGACAGGCAGTCAGGCAGCCAGCAAGATATGATGTGGCAGATCTGACCCGCGTCTGTGTGACGCATGACGTTATATTAACCAACAGCTGCACACATGCCAGTGGCCAAGCCGAATCTTTGTTGAAGAACTGAATTGAATATTTTTGTATTGTTCAAGGAAACCACATACGTAGTTACCAAAAGAAAATATCTGCGCATAATACTATATTAAAATCACCCAACTTTATGGTGTTGTACAGTTCATAATCAGAATATTATGTCTGCTGACAGGACCGTGCCACACCACTATTCATTGCAGCTCAAAATGGCCACTTCAAGATACTTTTGTTCCTGCTGGCACAAGGAGCCATTCCTGACTCGAGACGCACAGATGGAGCCACTCCGCTGTGGATTGCAGCACAGATGGGACATGATCACGTGGTGAAGCAGCTGCTCAAGGCCGGTGCCAATGTTGACGCTACTCGCCATGTAAGTTTCATGTGGATTCAGAGTTTTCATGCTAGTGAGAGTCTTTGGGTTATGACACTGTGTAGCCTGATATGGAGGTACCGGTTTTCTGGAGGAACCTGCTGGTTCCATCTTCATGTAGAACCCTGAAGATGGAGCCAGCAGATTCTTCAGAAATGTTGATAACCAACCTGAAGACCACAGCGTAAACATAACTGCAGTGTCTGTCATTAAATGCTGACTACCGTAAGTTAAGCACCACTGTTTACAATCAAGACATTTTGTAAGCAGGTGTAATACTGTTTAAGAGTTGTAAAATCATGAATCAATCCATTAAACTGTTTCACTCCCAGCACATCATAGCAGTACCCTAGTAGCTGGCAACAGAATGAATACCAAATGGCCTACCTGTGTTCAAGAACGTACATACACCATCTAACAACAGAGGAAGAAATCACTAACTCGGTTTTAGCACTTTTTCCATCATCCAGAATTCTAGGTAATAGAAGACACGATATTTCGGAAACTGGATCTTTTCCGTCTTCAGGTCTTCCTCATAGATCCAGTTTCCGAAATGTCGTGTCTTCTATTACCAAGAATTCTGGAAGATGGAAACAGTCCAAAAACCCAGTAATTCTGTGTGTCATCCACCATCATGAGAACCCTTTAGAATCTACCAAGAAATCACTTGCTCAAAGTGTTAAAAAGCAGTATTGAAATTTTGTTACCTGAATATCAGAGTGTACCATGTCCATCAACGCCAATTTCTGGGAAACTGGGCTCAAAATCTGAAAATCAACTGCAGTTTAAATGTGACTTAGAACAAAAGACATTCTGAAATCTCACACGTGCAAGTAAGGAAAACCTAAAGAAGTGTGTGGAAAACTGTATTCATTACCTCATTTTCACCCAGAAGTGATGGTAGAACACTTCAGTACTCAGACAACAATTTATTATAGCAGTTTAATGAATACATTTTTATTTTACTCACTGTGAATGGTAAATGCAGTCAGGCAACAAAAGAGCAGATATCATCACTTTTACATTGCATGTGCTGTTATGTTTCCTTAGCAACCAAGTAGAGGCAGAGAGAGACCAAAGAAGCTTGACTAAACAGTTTTACTTAAATGTGGTTCAACTAGGCAATGACTTTTCAAGCCACTGCTGTCCTCTTCCTGTGCAGTGCTACAGCTCTTCTTGCCCTTACCTTACATTATGAGGTCTCTAGTTTCTAAAGAACACACACATTTTTAACTGAAGACTATCCTGTATCAGGAACACATGTCTGGTTCACAGGATGGAGCCACGCCACTGTTCAAAGCCTCCCACAAAGGACATTGCAGTGTCATAGAAGAGTTACTGAAGTACAAGCCATCACTGGGACTCCTTCCTGTAAGCAACACATTAGACACTCATGAATCATTGAGATCCTGGCCTGAGGAACCATCAGAACTTGCCTCAACATCGCTAATATTGCGTGCACACGTGCCTCAGTCAGGACAGTCAGTCTCTGGACTGAATTTTGAAAGCAGGACCTCCTGATACAAAGCAGGAGTGCCAAAAACATTATTATTTTAGGTTGTTATTTAATGAAGTGAATAGTGAGGAGCTTCATAACCTGTAGTCTTCTCAAAGTATAATTAGAATGATCAAGTCAAGGAGCATAAGGTGGGCGGGGCATGTAGCACGAATGAGGGAGAAGAGGAATGCATATAGGGTATTGGTGGGAAAGCCAGAAGGAAAGAGACCACTAGGAAGACCAAGGCATAGGTGGGTGGACAATATTAAAATGGATCTTAGAGAAATAGGATGGGATGGTATGGATTGGGTTGCTCTGGCTCAGGATAGGGACTAGTGGAGGGCTCTTGTGAACATGGTAATGAACCTTCAGGTTCCATAAAATGCTGGGAAGTTCTTGAGTAGCTGCAGATTTGGCTTCTCCTCAAGAAGGGCTCAGCTCTGTGAGTAAGTAAGTGCATATCAATACTATACAGCTTTGGATGCTTAACAAATACAGAACAGTTGGTGGAATGAGAATTGGCAGGAGAAACTGAAGTGCTGAGAGAAAACTCACTCCAATGTCACTTTGCCCAACGCACATCTCACGTGACCTGGGATTGAATCCAGGTGGGAAGCCAGCACCTAACTGTCTGAGCTACTGCATGGCCTACAACGTCCAGCCCAGGAAGAGTAAATATAAGCTGCATGTCCTGTTCATTCTGTTTCAGAATGGGGAAAGTGCCCTGCATGCAGCAGCCCTGTTTGGCCATGTTTCAGTCGTGAAACAGCTGATATCAGCTGGAGCAGACATGACACTAAGAAACCAGGAGGGGGCCACACCTTTGCAACTTGCCCAAGACGCCAAACAGACTGCAGTTGTCGAGTACTTGTGTAGCATGCCGGTTGATCGGGTTAATGGGACGGCACATAAACCAGTGTGATCAGACCTGAGTTTGTGCTGAAGGTGGTGGGAATTCTCAACTTGTCAGAGATGCCAGTATGACATCAGTCACAGATAAAACCCAGCTGACAGCATTGTTGTACACTCAGTGATGATTGATGATGATGTACTTCATATGGGAAGAAAGAATGTAAAACTTGCAAAGAGTAGCACATACATCAGGGCACCAGTTGACTGCTACAGCATGAGAAGTAACTTCTGTTGGGTCTGAGGTTCTCACAGTGCTATGAAGAGTGTGGGTTTCCAGGTTGTAATACAAGTACTATGTGGTTCGGAAAGAACGTGGCGTTTAGCAGAACATATTTCCTCCATCTTCAGGGTCAAAGAGAAGCCTGCTGATTCTGCTGGTAACTTGCGTGGCTTCTCTTTGACCTTGAAAATGGAAGTGATATATTCCTCTGAAACGGTGGGCTGTCTTCAAACCGCATGGTGTTACAAACCATAAGACTGGATGGACTCTTCAGAAGTAAATTTTGCTTTCCAAGTGATGTGATGGGTAAATACTGCTTTTATATATATATATATATATATATATAATTCATATTATACCAGTATTGTGTACAACACTGAACACTGTGTGGTCAAGCACATAGAACTGCAGCCTCCCTGAGGTTTCTCATGCTTTTCCTCACTTCCTTCACTGTCCCTTCCAATTCATTATTCACCAGTCATCCTACCATTCAATGCTACTGACAGCAGCGTCAAATAAATCAGAAACAAACAAAATAAGACACATACATTTCAGGAGTTGGTACCGCTGTCATCTTCAGGCACTTGGTTGTCATCGTACTAACATTTCTGTTTCAAGTCTTGTATTTTATGACTATGGGGTACATGGTAGCGCAGTTTGTTGAGGAACTATGGTACAAGCCGGAAGGTCGCGGGTTCGATTCCTGATGAGGTCATTGGATTTTTCAATTGACATCATCCTTTCTGGTGCACTATGGCCCTGGGGTCAACTCAGCCTCTAACAGAAATGAGTACAAGGAACCTTCGAGGGGGTAAAGGGCGGCTGGCGCGTAAGGCTGACAATCTCACCGCCATCTGTGAGCAAGTTTTCTATAAAATGTGGGAGCCTCGTCTCACAACCCTATGGGCCTCCAGGGTCTGTTACAGGGATAGCTTTTAATTTTATTACTATTGGTGTCGGTCACGATCAGACCCATGATCTTCTAAATACTAGGCCAGCAAAGTAACCATTATACTAGCAAGGCAACCGAAGAATGCCGGTTGTAATGTCTGAAAATGTCAGTTCTGCAGAGTTCTGTATAACACTTTATACTACTGAAGTGCCTGGACCTTTAAGTATCCCAAACAGCACAACATTTTGGAAACTGGATCTGTGGGCAGAGTCCAAAAACGCAGTAATCCTGATCTGTACTCATGTTATTCATGTGGTTACTTACTGTCTTGATGCGGAATGAGTCATATGGGCCTCAGTCACTGAGTGACAATCTTCAAATTATCTGACAACCAGTAGCCAGAAGACAGAAGCAGAGGCAAATTAAAGAAAGTGCCTATCAACTTACTGTGCTCTTCTGGATTATGCTACCATGGATACAAACTTTTTAGGGGAGCAGTGATACCCACTTTGCAGACTACACATTGTCATAACCCACAAAACCCCAATATGAATCCTCACTGCCCTGAAAAGCTCAAGTCTCATATACATGTGAAATAGTGGTCAGTGTCTAAGATGATATTGGTGCAATAAATCAGCCATTCTCACACGTCTTTACAGAATCGTGATTCATAAATGTCTTGACACATTCTATGTCCTGTAAATTGTCTCATTCTTTTGGCAGGTACATCTTCTAACAGCCCACTTTCTCATTAATGGTATGGAAATGTTCAGTTGTACAGCATTCAAAACAGCACAAATATAGATGGTGATGTGTACTTAGTATATTGGCATTATCAGTTTGGAAATGCACAGAAATGTGAGACACTGCGCAGAATCTGCACTGCACTAACACTGTCAGCCCTGAGCGGTGTGAGAGTGACGGAACAGTACACAGTCCAGCGGAAACCTACCAGAATTAAAGACAGACCCGTTGCCTGCATCTTCAGGGTAACATAAAATTTTAATCTTTCAACCTGAAGATGCGGGACTGTCACATCCCAGAAGTCAGTTGTCTTTAGGTCCAACACTGCCTGCTGCTGGCATAAAACATTGCTTATATCCTGGCAAACATAATCTACGATCATATACTGTTATTCCATGATGGTGCTTATCCATGGTACGATAAGAACAGTATGTTCCCATTCTGTTAAGAACGTGGCACCTGTGTAAACTGTGTTCTTGCCGTAGTTAAATGTGCCAATTGCCTTCATGAAAGAAAGAGGTTCTGTGACAGTCTGCGCATACTTGTGTTTCTTTGTATATACCCTTAAAATGGGAGTGCCATGACTTCTGTCACTTTGCTTTACGTTTTCAGGGTACATGGGTATATAAACACAATCATTGCCATGTTGTGGGACTGCGAGTTAAAAGAGGATCGCTCACAATAGCGCTGAGCAGGTTGGCAGTGGTAACAAGCGTCACTCATATTCAGGAGGCATCCGGTTTGAATCTCGCCCAAAGCATTGACTGTCCTGAGGGCACTTCTCTCGGATAGGGCCTCGATTAAGCTATGACCAGTACCTTCCATATCCCACCCCATTCATGAATCACTGGTAATCATACTATATAGTGTGACATACTTACAGCATCATAAAATAAAGCACCAAAGAGAAACTGTTGTGATGGAGTATGATCACGATTCGGCTGATGTGGCATAATACGAGAACTGTTACGTCCAGTTTAACATCTGCCTGCCAGCACCCATATTAACATTGGATTTAAATCCCTCATTCTTCCAAACAATAAAATTTAAAGTATGAAACAGTTTCTAATGAAATTTCATAATTAGTTTTAGCTTTGAAAGCCATAATACGAATGCCTCCCGGAAGCAGAGACCGGAGGGAACCTGGCACACATGGCACTGAATGTGTTACAATATGGAAGAGAGAGAGAGAGAGCTGTGTGAACAAAAAGAAGTTCTGTCACAGTTTCACACTAATGTGTCATCTGGCAGACATTTTCTGATACAAGATATTATTTTTTTCTGTCTGCTGTAGATATGATTCTTGTGAAGGAAATGTGTTAGAAATATCAGATATTTTATGAACATATCATTTTTGACTATCAGATTTAAATAAAAATGTATGAATACTGTTGCAAACAGATTGTATACTATTTTTCTTAAAATGTGATTTATAATAAAAATAAAATACTTTGAAGTAATTGTGTCTTGTTTCTGACTTTACCCTTCATGCAAGTTTTTTCCTGTGACTGGTAACCTTGTGAGGGCATCAGCCAAGTCTGCTCATGTAGTCAGGTTCTGGCTTACAGTTAGGCCTTACACTCAGTATCCTGACTTGAGGTTGTTGCTGTCATCAGGGCATCTAGGTGGATGCTAGGATAGTAACTAAAACTGAGCCACAGCTGTTTCCTGCCTGTTCCTTTCAAGCTCACTCATTACCTTATACCATTTGATGGCAGATGAACACTACAGGTGATACAGCATTGCTAAATAAATTTTAATCTGTTCATCCACAGGTGTTCTGTGGGAACACGCCTATGGGTTGAAGTTAATATAGTGATAAGTCAGCTGTAATCTGCCAAGTGCAATGGTGTAACAATAACACTCGTCATATTCAAGAGGTGCTTGGCTCCAGTCTCTGCCGGGACACTGGAAACCCTGACAGGTGTTTGTGCTCTTTTTCAGTTCCTCAATCAAGCCATAACTGCTCCCTTATTCATCTGTCACCCTACCATTTAATGCTATATTGTCCAGCTACTGATGTTGTTAAATAACCCACGCGCACACACCAGAAGGAAAGCCCTAACCCAGAGCTGGAGGGAAGAGGATGTAGCCTTGTACCCAGATGTCAACCAACATTGTGCAGTTAAGTCAGATTTGCAGCCATCATCAGGTTACCACAGTGGTGAAGTTTCAAACTGGGGTTGTCTGAGTTATGATGTGGTGGGTGGTTACTGTTGCTATTATTTATACCCTGAAGATGGAGGCAGTATGTTCCTCTGAAAAATATGTAACAGCCTATCAGAATACACAGTGTAATAACCTAGAGGACACTGAATATTATTGCTACTGGGATATGTCACATATTTGGAAGGAAGTGGCAACGTTTCAGAGCAACGCTGATTCCTTCCTCAATATTAGTCTTCTACCCTGAAGATGGAAGTAGCAGTTTCCACCCCAAACATCAGTAACTTTCTGCTGGACTACACAACATCACAACCAAGAAGACATTTATTTTCATTCAGAATTACTGGGTTTTTGGACTTCGTCCATTGTCTGGTACTCTAGAAACTAATGTTTCAGAAACTGGAACCAGCCCCAAAACCCAGTAATTCTGAGTGTTATAGACCACTGTCAGGACCCTTTAGAATCTATTTATTTTCGTATTCACCACTATAAGCACTAACCTCTCAAATAAAAGGTATTTTGATGATGAGGTCAGTTCATGGCAGTGTAACAATTTTTCCCCTTAAAGTTTGAATGTTCTGGGTGACAATGAGATTGCCCTCAGCCCCTCTGAGCTGACATGTGAATAATCTCGATACAATGTTCCAAAGCAGCTCTCTTTCAAATCTTTCCCAGTTAATAATCTCTGTTTAACATTCATAGAACAGTGTAGTTGGCTTATGGCACATCAATAAACAAACTGAAGAGGTGCATAGTCCGCCTGTCAGCAGGCCTCTATGTCAACTGAACACTGTGGATACATGCTATCAGCAAAAGCATTATCTCGTACTCCAAGCACATGCCGCTCCCTACTATGTGGGACAGGAAACATGGTGAAGGATCGGCTGCCTGACCTCAGACTGGTAAGCATCACAGCCACTTGCATTCACCCTCTGTTGCATGAAATTCAAGTAAGTAATATTTTAAAACTGAATTCAAAGCTACCGTCTGCCAGAATTAATTGGTAACTTAGAAGTCAATACGAATAATACTCCTATACATCAGTAAAAATAACCTATATTAAATTCGCTCACTCATTAAGGGAGTTGAGCCCTTCTTGAGAAGATGCAAATTGTGCAGCCATTCAAGAACTTCCACAGAATTTTACAGAACCTGCAGGTTCATTACCGTGTTCACAAGAGCCCTCCACTGGTCCCTATCCTGAGACAGATCAATCCAATCCATACAATCCTATCCTGTCTCCCTAAGATCCATTTTAATGTTGTACACCCTCCCATGTCTTGGTCTTCCAAGTGGTCTCTTTCCTTCTGGCTTTCCCACCAATATCTTACACACATTCCTTTTCTCCCGCATTCATGCCACATGCCCTACCCATTTCATCCTCCTTGACTTGATCATTCTAATTATACTTTGAGAAGGGTACAGGTTATGAAGCTCCTCATTATGCAGTTTTCTCCAAACTCCTGTCACTTCATCTCTCTTCGGTCCAAATATTCTCCTCAACACCCTCAGTCTATGTTCTTCCCTTAACGTCAGAGACCAAGTTTCACACCCATACAGAACCACAGGCAAAATTAGAGTTTCATATATTCTAATTTTTATGTTTTTAGACAGCAGACGAGAAGACAAAAGATTCTGGACTGAATGGTAGTAAGCATTACCCGAGTTCAATCTCCTCTTAATTTCCTCCTGAATCAGGTTTCGATCTGTTATCGTTGTTCCCAAATATCTGAACTGTGCCACATTTTCAAAACATCAGTTTCCTATTTTTATGTCATGATTTTGCCCTGCATTTTGGTGACGAGACAGTAACATATACTTAGTTTTCTCAGTGTTTACTTCTAGACCAACCTCTTTACTTGCATCAATTAAAGTTTGTGTGTTTTTTTATGGTATCTGCATTATCACCAAGTAGATTTACATCATCAGCGTAGACCAACAGCTGATGTGTCCCATTTAATTTCAGCCCCACTTGGTTTTCCCAGACCTTCCTAATGGCATATTCTAAAGCAAAGTTGAAAAGGAGTGGTGATAAAGCATCTCCTTGTTTTAGACCATTTTGGACAGGAAAGTTATCAGACACATGTTTACCTACACGTTTTGTTTAAACACATTTTAATCAGCCTAACTAGTTTCATGGGTACCACAAACTCTAACAGAATGTTGTACAATATTTCCCTCTTAACCAAGTCATAGGCTTTCCTGAAGTCTATGAATAGCTGATGTACTGTCTCATTGTACTCCCATTTTTCTCCAGTAACTGTGGAATGCAAAAGATCTGATCAGTAGCTGATCTGTTACACTGAAACCCACACTGATGATCCCCAATAATTTCATCTATAACTTAAATTGTTAAAGTGAAAGCATAACTAGTGATCTGAATTGAAATTTGATTCGCAAATTTTAAATTTTAACTTTTGACATTTAGAATAATATTTTAACTTGTGTTTTGTGAAAGGAACTTGATATAGTATTGAGCGTGGGCCTGAATAAGATACAGGATCGAATAAGTGAAAAGACGAATGTCATTGCGTGTAATTATACAGCTGTGTTCTTACACCTGAGGATGACCTCTTGAGGTCGAAACATGTAATGTAATAATAATAAAAATATGCTGTGTGGTCGTAAAATTGACTCTGATATTAATTTCATCTATGTATGGACTTAACCTTGAGAGAGTAATATTGGATAAAATTTTGTATGACGTTGATAGCAGTGATATCCCCCGATAATTACTACAGTCAGTTTTATCGCCCTTGTGGACTGGTACAATAATAGACTCCTTCCACTGATCAGGCAATTTTTCCTTGTTCCAAAAAGAATTAAATAGCTTATGGATCTTAGAATGTAATATTTCACCTGCTACTTGAATAAGTTCTGCCAGAATTTGATCATTACCCCGCGAGTTATACCTTTTCAACTTTGAAGTAGCAATTTCAACCACAAAAGGACTAGGATCAGGTACATCACTGTCCCTGTATACATTCAAAAACTGAGAGTAGTAGTTCCTCCACCTATTCAAAATGTTCTGGGAACCTGAAAGCAGATCACCATTGTCATCCTTCACAAATTTACTGCTAGGCTGGTAACCCCTCTTGAAGTCATTTATTCCTCAATCAAGTCTCTAATGTTCTTGTTCTTACTGTTCATTGCACCTATATTAAATTATGTTCCAAAAATTTAGTTCATGACAGAAAACACAATGCGTCTCCATGACAAAGATCAACCAGTTAATGTTGTTCAGCGAAATTATTGCTGTTTATTGTGAGAACCATATGGGACACATAAAAATACTGTGTGGGCAGAATTCAGAGTTTTAGGATGTTAAAGCAGGTGGTAGGTACAGTTACCACTAGCTTTGAACAGACAATAATTCAGCATTATTTTATTTCAGTTTAATGGCATGTCACTTCTTGTGGCATGCACAGCATTACCTTTACACCACATGTCTTCAACATAAAGGAACCAGGGTGATTTTAGGGGGTAAATACAGCTCATACACCGCCAAATATTGTAAGACTTGCAATTTATTTTCTCTGCTCATAAGATATCATGTTTTGCAACATAAACCAAAAGGCAAACAACATACTGACAGATGTTAGGTTATGTTAATCACAGCACAAGCCCCAGTCTTCCTACCACTGGTTGATATTCAAGTTTCAAAATGTAACACTTGATAACACTTCGCAGACGTCACCAATGCACACTGTCTTTCCAGGTTCAGCGTTCACAGAGCTACAGTTCAGATGAAGTCTGCTTGAAGATTGGAAAGAAGACAAATGCAATCACTCAGTTTCTTGATAAGGTCAGTTCAAACATCCTGACTTTGGTATCATGTTAGATGCTATTTTCTGGATCCCATGAACACCACACAACATAATGACAAGCAAATCAGCATTTATTGTTACATATTATATTTTTAAAAGGATGGTGACATAAATCTTGTACTTCAAGGTGGAAAGGATTCAAAATGGAATTGAAAGCATCAACACCAATATCGACGAAATCAAGAGACTCAACAGCATCATCCTGTTGTTACCTCAAGGCAAAGGAAGTGAGTATAGTGGTGACTACCCTCTAATTAGTAGGGCTGTATTTGCTAAGTATAATTAGAATGATCAAGTCATGTAGCACGAATGGGTGAGAAGAGGAATGCGTGTAAGATATTGGTNACTGGGAAGAAAGAAACATAGGTGGGTGGATAATATTAAAATTGATCTTAGAGAGATGGGGTTGTCTTGACTGGACTGATCTGGCTGAGGATAGGGGCCAGTGGAGGGTTCTTGTGAATACGGTAACGAAACCTTCGAGTAACATAAAATGTTGTGAAGTTCTTGAGTGGCTGCATGACTGGTGACTTCTCAAGAAGGGCTCAGCTCCACTATGAAGTCTGTTAATTAGTTAGGTGTTAAGCCAGGGGAATCCAGGGATGTGGCCCAGTATTATTCTGGGTGTCAATTTTAAAAGAGCGACGTCACACATACATAAATTATGGCTCATTTAGCAAGTCCCAACTTCTCTGTTTCATGTGAAACATCAACTTCTTTAAATATGCCTGTTTCGTGAACTGTTTGTTGTTCCATTCTGTAAAGCTATCATGCAGTAAGAGCACAAGAGCCCGGCTGGTCCAACCTGAAACTGCATATCAGCCTGCCCCGCTTTAGGACCACACCCCTGCTAGCTACGCATGTAACTACTGTACTTGCAAGCAGGTCACAGTGGTGACACGACTTCCCACCCAGCTTGCAATGGGTATGCAAATTCTAATAAAACAACTTTACATGTATTCTCAACACGGTTGCTCCATCCAGTGAGTAAAGATGGCAGGTGACCCAGCACCCCAATTTCAGGAACCCCCACTGTGTGAGCATCAGTGCTGTTTGCTTTAACTACTCCAAAATTACTACCAAATATGAAAAGAATATATCAGCCAACTTCTTGGTTTGTATTACAGTGTATTTCCTTACAGAGAAAGAAGCAAGTGTCACTCTCATTATCAACATTAAACAGAATTTTGTCTTTAATGACTAGTACAGACTGTAAGCCGGATCCACGTATCTGGGCAGAAGACGCACAAAGAATGCACAAAGTTCTTCTCTTTGCAGTGGTATATCCAGCATTTCATAAACTGATTTGTGTGTATAAAATGTAAAGAACTATATTTTGAAAAATAATTGTAAACTAGAACAATTTTTACATTATGTACTTTTAGTCCTCTCCTATTCTTTCAATTTTGTTAATATAAGTAAGTTTTGTGCTGGCATCAAATTGTCCCAGAGCGGCTCTAACAGTGCTATTCAGAGTCTCTTTCATGACTAACTAACTAATTTCATGGAGCTGAGGCCTTCCCAGAATTTTACAGAACCCGAAGTTCCATTACCATGTTCACAAGAGACCTCCACTGGTCCCTATCCTGAGCCAGATTGACCCAACATATCACCCCATCCCATCTCTCTAACATCTATTTTAATATTGTTCACCCACCTATGACTTGGTCTTCTTAGTGGCCTATTTCCTTCTGGCTTTCCCACCAATATCATATATGCATTCTTCTTCTCCCTCCATTCATGCTACATGCTCTGAATTACATATATAATGAGTTCGTTTCTGGCTTTGCAGCAAGCAATTCAGAAGTCGAAGACAGGAAGATGTGTGTTTCCCGTACCATATACCAGGTTCAGTATGATATTAAAGGTGGGTACAGCGTCAGACAAGATGGCATGAAGAAGGTGAGGTGGGTGGCTGGACTATGCACATGAATGTGCCACTAGCCAACAGCCTCACATGTCCCAACTGATAACTTACAATTCTGTCACTTGGAGCCAGGCGACTACTTACACGTGTCATCTGAAGTGTGAGATTGTTAGGGGGCAAAACTGAAGGGGGCTCAACAAGTTGAGCAAACAGCACAACTGCTACCTTCAGCTCCCACTCACCGCCCACTGCCACGTCTGTGTAAGGGCTTCCACAGACTGCTCACCAGGTACATTTACCCTGAAGATGGCAGCAGCATTATTTGCCAAAATATTAGCAAACCTTCAACACTCTACACAGCTTATTCCAAAAAGCTGAAGTTAGGCAAGATTCTAACTTGATACATGGATCTGCCACAGCTCAGGCTGTTAGTCGCCTTGGTTCGATCCCAGGGCAGGTCATGTGGGATTTGTGGAGGATAAAGTGGCACTGGGGCAGGTTTCAACCAAGTACTTGTTTCCCCTGCCAATTCTTATTCCACCAACTGCTCCATACTCATCTATCATTTAGGGATGGTGCAATAGGTTGATTAGTGGCCGACATACCAAGTGGACTCAGCCTCAGCCCCACCCCCAAAACAAATTAGGGGGGTGGAGGGTGGAGCTGCCTTCTCCCTGCACAGCTCTGGGATCAATCACAAAAGACTTCATGTGAGATTTATTGTGGATGAAATTACACTGGAGCAAGTATCGCTCCAAGTTTCTTTGCTTCTCCCCTGCTAATTATCCTGCACCACCCCCTGAGGCATGAGGCAGCCCTGACCAGGCTCACATTATCACAAACTGAGACTGTAAGTTGGGGCTTTCAGCTTTGACATAACAAATGGCTGGTCAAAGAGTAAGAAAGTTAGTTTGTTAGTTAATTACTTAGCTAGTTTAATTTGTTACAAGATTTAACACATATTCACTTAGTCAAAATTTACAGGCATCCAAAAACTGATAGAAAAAGACAAAGAAATGCCTATCGACACTTTATCAACTCTTGCAAGAATTCAAAGAATCCAGTATTCGACGTTGGTGTGGCTGTTTGCTGATGCTGTGAACAACTACAACGAGATGCTTCTGAAACATCAAGCAAGATGTAAAGCAATTGTACACCAGCAACTGCAGATAAGTAAGTGCAAACAAATCCATTCACAAAAGTTACTGCAACGAACCCACCCATCGTCTCTCATACTCAGGGACGAACACAAACTGTGGGTGCTGTGGGCAATGTTCAGACCTGGTGGGGGAGTGACAGGAGGATGGAGAAAACTACATAACGAGGAGTTTCATAGTTTTTACTTCTCACCAATGTTATTATAACTCAGTTGATACAGCAATGGGCTACTGGCTGGACGGTGTAGGAATCGGGGTTCAATTCTCGGCAAGAACAAGAGATTTTTCTGTTCTCCCCAGCACCCGGACCAGATCTGGGGCCCATCCAGCCTCTTATCCAGCAACGTGGAGTGCATTCCCCAGGGGTAAAGTGAACACGGTGTGAAGTTCACCACACCTTTCCATCTAGTGAAGGTCTCGAAAATGTGTGGAGCTATATCTCCACTCCCCCATATATCCTCATGACACCTTCACCATATGTTACTAGAGTGCTGAAGTGAAGGATGAGATGGGTAGGGCATGCAGCACACATGGGAATAATCTGAAATATACACAAACATTTGGTCAAAAAGGCTGAAAAGAAGAGACTTCTTGCATGAACTAGACATAGAGGGGAGGATAATATTAACACATTGTGGACCGGACGGGCCATATGGCCCTCTATGTTTCCACGCGTTGCGGACCGGGCGGGCCATATGGCCCTCTACGGTCACGTTATTTTGCAAAACGCTATATATCGCTGTGTGGCTTCGTTGAATCGTAACTACTGCGTAGATGACCTCGGGAATGATTGCTGCCCTATCTAGTAACTTGACCAGAGTCATTTCCTGTCATAACCTAAACAAAATTGGCTTTGTTCCCAAGCTTGCACGTATGAACCACGCAGCTACCAGTTCAACATGGCTCAGAGACGAAAGCAGTTGCGATCTCTCGGAGGACAGGAAATATTAGATATGTTCTCTGATGAGCTATCAGATTTGCCAACTGCTTCGTCTTCTGATAGCAAGGCCATTATCAGTGACAGTGACAGTGACGGGGGCCACAGGGCTGCCCAAAATGTGTCATGTGAAAGTGAGAGCTCTGTTGAAAGTGTGAGTGTCGGGACAGCTACATGGGATAAAGTGGACAAAACCCCCACTTTGGGAAAGTTTACTGGTGATCCGGGGGTGAAGCAGATGCCATCAGACCCAACGGACGTGTCTGAAGTTGTGTCACTGTTTTTTGGAGATAGTTTCTTTGACGGAAGGGGGACATTCTTCTTCAGTCCTGGAGGGATACTCGCATTGTGAATATGGTTTCCACTATTCACAATTCGAGCATGGTCGATGTTCAAAGACGACACGGGCAAGTAAAGAAGCCTCTTTGTATTTCCGAGTATAATATGTTCATGAAAGGAGTTGATAGGGCCGACCAGTTCTTGGCCTATTATTCCCTTCCTAGGAAAACAGTAAAATGGACGAAGAAAGTTGCACTGTGGCTTATAAACTGTGCAATTTTCAATTCATTTACGGTTTTCAAAAAGGTGAACAGAAATTCTACTTTGAAATACAAAGCATTTCTGTTGAAACTGGCAAAAGCTTGGGCTACTGACGTCACGGTGGCGGCAGTACCTGAGTCAGACACAGATGTAGTGCAGCCAGGGCCATCTGTTCGCACCCACCAGAGGCCTCAAGTAGACCCCCCTGGCCGACTCTTGGGTGATATGCGGAAACATATTCTCGTGACAATTGTGAAGAGTGAATATTGCAAGAAGAAACACCCTTCTAGGCAGTGCCGTGTGTGCACAGAGCACAAGAAGAAGAGTAGAACTGTCCACATGTGCAACTTCTGCCTAATGCCTCTTCACAAAGTGGAATGTTTCCAGAGATATCAAATGAGCAAGCACTTCTATGAGCTCTGGTAAGTATTCTCCAAAAATTTCAGTTCACAAATTAATTAGGAGATTTTATATTAATTTTTAAAGTGAACAGTGCACAAGTTAGGGTAGTAGGTTTAAAAACGCCGGTCCCCAGGGTGATTTAAATGTTTAAACCACCGGTCCGCAATGTGATAAATTGAATCTTAAATAAATGGACTGGATGGTTGTGGGTTGAGTTCACCAGGCTCGGGAATAGGTCTAGGGCAATGAGCTCTCTGCTTCTCCTTACTAGCCGAGCTTCACAGGCTTCCCAGGAGCTGGTTACTATGAGAAGTATGACACTGCAAATTAAATAAATAATTAATAATGTCTGTTCCTCTTGCAGTCAACAGAGAGGCCACAAGTGAGGAACTGGAGCACTTGTTAGAGAACAGTGAAGTGGCTGTTTTTGTGGACAATGTAAGTCTCCAAGAAATTAAAGTATACACATTAAATTGCATGAAGTTCACTGTGATGCAAATTGTTAGATACAATTCAACAAGTGAGTCTGGTATCATTGTACGCCCAATGATGACCCAGTATAGGGGTCGAAACATGTAGCGTCAATGAAAACAAATGTTGATATGATAGTGTCTACTTTGTTTTAAATACAGAATATTGTTGTGTAGACTGCATACATTTGTATACATTTTATGTGCCTTGTTCTCTGTGAAGCACGAACAGTGCTCAGGATCCCCTGAAATCTCACTCGGAGTACATGATTTGTGACCTCTTCAGATTGTTGCAGATACGCTTGAAGCACAACTTGCTCTGACAAGTGTGAAAGCAAGACACGGAGAGTTACTGGAAGTTGAAAGCTCTGTGAAGGAAATAAGGGACATATTTGTGCAGATGGCAACACTGGTAGAGGCACAGGTAACATAAACCTGAACTTCTGACAGGTGGAGTATTATCTGATTGGGTGTAATGCCACGTAGCCTACTGCAAGTTCACTCATTTCTTCATGGCTGAAGAGTCAGCCAAGAAAGAAGCTACCAGACTACATGGTATCACATCCCATAAAATAGTCACCACTGCATGAACCTCACATCCAGCAGCGCTGATATATGCTCGCATCCCAAGTAATAATAAACTGCATGGTGAGATCTTCAAAAACTGCACTCACAAACTGTTACGAGGATGAAACAGTTGGGGCATGTAGCATGCATGGGGGGAAAAAAGAAACAGATACAAAGTTCTGGTATGAAAACTGGAGGAAAGTGACCATTTTGAAGACCTTGGCATAATATTAAATATATATTGGATAATATTAAAATTAAGGAAATAGAATTGGAGATTGTGGAATGAATTCGTGTGGCTCAATACAGAGATCAGTGGCGTACTCTTGTGAACAATGTAATGAACCTTCCAATTCTATAACAGATGGGGAATTTCTACACTAAGCAACTATTAGCTTCTCAATACCTCTGCTCCTTGCAGTTAATTAGTTGATTTAATCTTTACAAAAATATTTGTGAACACACTGATCACTGTATTTCTGATTACTGCCATAAATTATAAATCCAGTGTATTACTGTATTCTACAACCAAGATCAAATTTCAAGTTGCTGAGATTCTGGAATGATTTCAGCTTATAATTTCTTAATTTATTGTTTACTTCACAATGCTTTCAATTGTTATGTCAAATGACAGGTTAGGCAGACCACTAGAAAGGATATTCAAGGAAACAGTCGGTGCTTAATGTGAGACACCATCCCAGCTTTGCCTGAAGAAAGTGAGAAAAACCACAGAACTCACAAAGAGAATAGCTGGGTCGAGATTTGAGTCCGTGGGTTACTAAATACAAAGTGGGGGTGCTGCAATATATAATCATCAGATCTTATATAGCCATATGTTCAACACAGAGGCAAGAACTGTAACACACTATGTAAGTAAAGCGTATTTTCTCCAACAGGGTGATAACGTCAAGAGAGTAGAATTCCATGTGGTGAAAGCAGGAGGACACGCTGACCTTGGTAACACCCGGCTCAGAAAAGCAAAAAAACTGAAGAAAAAGCGAAGAAAGGTGCGTACCAGAGGTCTTAAAACAAACCTTTCACACAGAACATCAAAATAAGGTTAAAGGTTTTCACAGCAATCAAGGTTAGGTAGTGCCTTGCCAGTTGCTTCATGACACACAGCACTGACTGGCAGGATGTCACATAAATGATAAACTGGAAAAGATTTGGAAGGAAGCAGTCACGAGCTAAGAGATGTACTATCCCAGCACTTGACAGTAGGGACTGAGAAAAACAACAAAAAACCCCAACCAGGATAGCTGATGTCCCAGTTGAGATTCGATCCAAGCACTGTCTGAATGTGAGCCTAGAGTGCTGCAGCTACACAGATCTGTTTGGTGACACCATACAGTCTGGTAGAGATGCCAGTCTTTTGGCAGTACCTACTGCCTCCATATGCAGAGACGGAGTTGGTTCCTCCAGGATGCTGGTAACACCAGATGCCCAGTGTCATAAACTGGATGACCATAATTTATAATGGCTTCCATCTTAAAAACACAACAAGAAGTTCTGGGAAGAATTAACTGATGCAACACAGACCGCACAGGAAACAAGAAATTAGAGGGGGATGCTGATGCACAGACAGAAAAGTGATGTAAGAGCTACCTTTCCTTTTTTTTTTTAAATAAAGAAAGTAGGCCAGAAAACTATAACTTAGCCTGTTATTTTGTGTGGGTGTAAAACATGGTCCTTCACATTAAGGAAAGGACAGAGGCCTAACATGTTTAGAAGCCAGGGCGTTGAAAGGGACGAGATGGAAAGACGCTGGAGAGAATTGCATCACAAGGACCTCCATAACTTGTGCTCTTCACCGAATTACTATTTGGGTGATATAATCTAGGGGCATGTAGCATGCATGGGAGCTGTGAGAAATGCTTATAGAATTTTAGCCAGAAAACATGAAAGGGGATCATTTAAAAGAACTGGAAATAGACAGAAGGCTAATAATAAAATGGATCTTATAGAAATAGGGTTTGATAGTGTGGACTGGATTCATCTGGCTCAGGACAGGGACAAAAGGAGGGTTCTCTAGAATAGGGCATTGAATCTTTCGGTTTCATGAAAGGCAGAGAAATCTGATTAGCCAAGAAACTACTGTCTTTTAAGAAGGACTAAGATCCATGGAGTTAGAGAGGTACATTTGATTCTGTTATGAAGGCTGAAGAGTTTCTCTATTCCCACTCCACCACGAGTTTGCTGAGGCACTATGCTACAAGCCAGAAGTTTGAGGGTTCTAATCCTTCCAGCCGCACTATGGCCCTGGGATTAACTCAGCCTCTAACAAAAATGGGTACCAGGAATCTTCCTGGGGGTAAAGGGCGGTCGGCACGTGAGGCTGACAACTTCACCACCATCTGTGAGCTGAATGTCTAGACAAAATATGGGAGCCTCAACGTCTCACAACCTTATGGGCCTTCACGGCCTGTTACAGGAATAGCTTTACCTCTGACCGCTCCACCACGTGTGACTAATGCACACTTATCTCTTGTTTCAGATAAAGTTCATCTTAGTTGTCAGCCTCATCATACTTCTTGGTATCGTTCTGATTCTGCTCACTATATAATTGTGCAAAACAATATTTTGTGTACAGTGAGACCAAATAAAAATGGTGTATGAGATTTAAGTCTGTACTTTATTTAGCGATGCTGTCAGGAACTAAAACTGTGTAGCAAAGTCACGGGGCTCATTAAGCAAAGTACTGTGTTTCATCTGAAATGGGAATATTCAACAGACCGAAAATGGTCACGATGCAAGGGCCAAGTGTGGCCCACCTCTTACCTGACTCTGAAATAGTGGGTGAGGCTGACTTGATGTAGACCACTGTATCATCATTAGAAAGTCACTAGATCCTACTTCTGACGTACAATGGGAACCAGGATCGCTATACAACAGTGTGGGACACATCGGACTTCCTTTCTTTAAGGTTGCCTACTGAGGGTGCAACATACTCTACTAAGAGACACAGACACATGTTATCATTTCTGTTACATGTTCAAGAAATTCCCAGTTTAATTCCTGCCTGGACAAATAAATCTTAACTTTGGATCCCCATGACTTTCTTCATACCATAACAGAGGTCTGATTCCCATGGCATCCCCCTGTCATTTACTGCAGACATAAATCTGCAGGACCAGAGGCTGCCATGGCAGCTGAATATCAAGTTGCCAGTCTCCTGGGATGTGACAGTGTTGTGTGGTAGACAGGTATCAATATTTTGAAGGAATGTAAACCCTCCATCTTCAGGGTAGAAAAGGGGAAGATGTGAAGACGGAAGCAATGGCTAAACTCTTGTTTATTTGGATTAAGTGGGGGGGGAGAAGTCTTTCAGTTTAATGACACAAAAGATAGCCCTAAGCAGCAACCAAAAAAATTTAGAAAACAAATGGAGAATTTAGTGCTGATGAAAAGAAATAAAAAAATTACCGTAGAACCTAAATTTAAAAGCTATAAAATGTCAAGAAGCTGGAATCCAGGGTCTCCTTCAGTCAGCTGAAGCCAATCTTGGATATTTTTTTGTGCGGTTTCAATCTCTCCAGCTGCCCTCAACACAGTCTGAAAGTCCTCTTGCTCCTAAGTCCCATGTGTTTTTTAAAGTGTGTACTCAATTGTGAACAGAATTTTTCACATTTCAACTCCAATTACCCGGCATCCAGATTAACTGTAACCAGATTAGCAAGGGTTCACTGTACCTACCTACCAAATGAGATGACATTACATCCCAGGAGACTGAATACATTTACAGTACATTAGCATAATTTAATGGCATGCCACTGGAAACATTTTTCTTATTTAATTACATTTAATCAGTTTTCTTGTAAATGTGGTAATAAACCTTTGGGCTTTTTAAATGATAGGGAATTTCCCGACTATGTGAACACCTATCAGCTTCTCAAGACGAACTCTGTAACGTACACATAATTCACCATGAGTATATAACCAAATTAATGCAGAATGCCATCTTCTGGGATGTGGCACTGTGTGGATATTGTGTTAACTGACGTTTCGGAGGAACATACAGCCTCCATCTTCAGGGTATAAGAAATTTGCGAACAATTAAGCAGCGTAAGCAGGTGGCTGCAATCACATTACGTTCACATCAGTTCACACAAGATCTACACGGCGCCACATCCCAGAAGACGGCATTCTTCATAGTCACCGCCGTAAGAACCTCTCAACTCTTACACAAATTAATGAAGTTGGCATTGAAATCTACGTTACACTTATTCTGAAACATTCTTCAGGGTATGTCACCCCTCAGCAAACAAACTCACAAGATATGTCCAATACGTAGATTTTGGTTCCCACTGTACCTTCAATATAGAATATAGTGAATTTTGAATGATGCCCTAATGATCTGATTTATTATCTGATGATGAAACATCCTCAAAAATGTATTAGACACAATTTACTGCTAACAATAAACATGTCAATAAATCACACTAAAATGTTACCGACTTTCATGTAACATACAATTTCCTGTCATTTTGGTTCAAAGCATTTCACAATGAAATATCATCATTATCACTATCAGAACACAAGAAGCTGATATGGTCTACTGTACATTGACCTGGGAGGTCATGTTTATCACGTCTGTCTCAACACTTGGCAGACAGAAGCCCACACATTTCCACAGGGTAAGTTACTCTTTCAGAATACTGTTGTTACTATATTTCAAATGCACAACACTTTTACATGGTGAACATTCATTTTGGATCCATTTACAGTATAAGAGAGTATAAAGTATAAGATAGGTGGGAAATGTGGCATGAATACAAAATTTTTGTAGGAAAACCTGACTGAAAGAGACTATTTGTAATGCCCAGGCTTAGCCTGAGGGACAACATTAAAGTAAATTGTAATGAAATTGGATGGGATGATGTGGACGGATTAATCAGCGGAGAATACAGAGACCAGCGGTGGGCACTCGTGAACACGGTAACGAATATTTCAGTCCCACAAAATGCCATGAATTTCTTGACTAGCTGAGCAATTATCACTTTATCAAGGACTCCACTCCATGGAGTTAGTCATTTAACGATGCTGTCAGAAGCTCAAATTATGTCGCATGAAATTTTACGATCAGGGAGGAAGTGGTCGTGGCCTAATCTGAGGCATTCTGTGATGATTTAACTGGAGGGTCTGATGAAAATGATGGAAAATCTTTGTTGGAGCAATTAGCCTCCAGCTGGGATTTTAATGCATGACATCCCAAATACAAAGTAGGGCAGCTGTCCACTTGACTGTGGCATCCAATGCCATGCATCCAGAGTTCATAAAAATGCACACCATGTCGAGGTGAACATGTAATTTACAGTACTGGTTTCTGTATTACTTTTAATCTTGCAACTGTTAGGTGAGATATAAAATCACTTCCTTCTGGAACATGACAGGCATTTACCAGCATTTCCCAGGAACTTGTTGCCTCCATCCTCAGGGCAGAAAAGTATGCTACAAATGAAAGGGAGGAAAGGATCTGAATGCTGGCAGTGACTGTACAACAGTCCTGCCAACTTTGTATTCTTACAATTAGATTAAATGAGAAATGTCACTGGGTCTCCCCCCAGTGAGATGTAGACTTTCCCAGGATCTTTTTCTCTGAAAAGAAAACCATGGAGCAAAACCCTGCATGACAAGTTTAACAATCACTCATCTGCTCAAACTCACTACCTTTTATGGAATCTAAAGGTCAATTACCATGTTCAAAAAATTCCATCGCTGGACACTCTTCTGAGCCAGATTAGTCCAGTCCTCCATAACCTAAAATCCTATTTGTTTAAGATCCATTTTAATATCATTCCATCTGTATCTAGATCTTACAAGTGGTGTCTTCTGTTCATGTTTTTCAACCAAAATTCTTTATGCATTTCTCATATCCCCCATGCATGCTGCATGTACGCCTATTTCACCCTCCTTGATCAGCTCTTCTAAATAACATTTGGTGAAGTGTACAAATTGTGCATCTGTCCCTCTATACACTGTAAATATATTCATCATTTTTCAGAGGTATGGCCCACACAGTACAACATCTTAATGGGGGCAGACATCTTGGTAAGAAATCTGTGAATTGCCTATTGGCATAAATTTCTTTGAAATATACTAAATATTTCTTGCATGATGTACTCAGCAAAGTAGTGTCATATTTAGTGAGTATAACCAAGCTAGAAACGATGAAGGGTACTATTTCCCGGGGTGTGATGTCATCTAATGATTTTCTTTGCATAAACCTTTCAAACAGATGAAGAAAGGAGTTTTCTGGGATGTGGCGCCATATAGATATTGAGTTAACCGACGTTTTGGAGGAATGTATCGCCTCCATCTTCAGGGTAGAAGAAAAAGAAGACTGTTAGCACCTGTTCACGCTGGTTCCTCGCTCGCGGATTTTCTTCTTTTTCCTTCTACCCTGAAGATGGAGGCGACACGTTCCTCCGAAACGTCGGTTAACACGATATATATATATATATATGGCACCACATCCCAGAAGACTGCTTTCTTCATAGTCAACGCCATGAAAACCTTAAACCTCAAACCTCTTAAACTAATAAATTTGATTTGTTTCATTCTGGTCCATCACAGTAACAATTATAAATACAAACCACTCCGTCCAATGTGACATGTAAGTTTTTACTACGTTAAAACTTATCTCCCTTACATGTTTCAGTCCTTATGGGTCATCTTCAGATGGAACATCACTACAAACTGGAAACTACCATCACAATAGGTGTTTTGATTTAAAATACATACACTTATATCTTATAATGCACAGTACACATAAAGTCGAATGTTTCACAATCACAGCTGCTTCCTGGTATTGTAAAATTCTTAAAAGTTTCTAGATGTTATTTAAAAAACCTTTATTGTCAATAGTTAAAATTTTTTAAACCACATAGGTTCACGTCCGTACTCCTATCGTCCTTCTTGTATGGGGCAGATTTTGTGCCGCCTGTCTATCTTGATGAGGAGGTTCTTGATGTTGCCCAGGGTTTGTTCGTGGCTTGCTGTACATTATAGGATATAAGTGTATGTATTTTAAATCAAAACACCTATTGTGATATTGTGATGGTAGTTTCCAGTTTGTAATGATGTTCCCTCTGAAGATGGCCCGTAAGGACCGAAACTTGTAAGGGAGATAAGTTTTAACGTAGTAAAAACTTACATGTCACACTGGATGGAGTGGTTTGTATTTATATTGTATTTATATGTTAAACTGATATTTGTAATACAATGGCATCCTGTTTCACAGCGACATTATTTAAGAAACAGGTGTACCTGTATTATGAACTGCAGTTCTCTATTCTAATTTCTGTGCGAGAGAAAGAACAAAACAAAATGCCAAGGGTGCTGCAAGCAAGAACAGGTTGGGAACCGCTGGTCTAGATCAGTTTTCTGAAACTGGGATATTTTAAGATTCATGAAGGGGCAAGCAAAAATGGGCCCCATAATAAATATTCTGAATTACTTTGAATCCTAAATGTTCATATTAATTTACAAGTGTACAATTTTATAGAAGTTCTTTCTGCTTTTCTGTAACGACCATTAGTAGTAATCCTGTGGACTCTGCTGAATCAAATTATAAGTCATTTTTAGGCTGAATGGCCTCAACATATTTAATTCAAAATTTGGGATTCTCGGGCTGCAAGAGGATGGGAACCACAGGTTTACATCTGCAACTGACTGTCACTACATGCAAAGGTATCAGTGTATTAACACATGAATCACGTGTCGGCAGCTCGCAAGTTCGTGCTGGGGAGGTCGCTGCGCACATCAAGCAAGAGGAAGACCACTCAGCTGAAGCAACTGCTCACCTCGCCAGAACTCACCTTCCTTATGGAGGCACATTCTGGCCTGAGCGCTCGCATTGTGCAGGAAGCAGGTACGAGGTGTCTCAAGGCTGTCCACTGCTAGGTTTGACTCACATAATCTAATTATTATGACAAGAAGTTCTGGGAAGAACTAAAAGCCTGCTTTCCTTTGATATGAAATGGACCACATAGAAAACCGAAAAATTAGGGGCAGACAGCGACACATAGACATCAAAGTGATCTCATAGCCTTGTAACAAAAACTGATTTGGGGGGGGGGG